AAATAATGTTGTTGACTTGAGTGAATTGGTTGTTTAAATGATCCAAAATTATGTAATCTAATACCACCACCATTAAGGATGTTTATATTATTAGATGATAAAGAAAGAGATTAATTATTTCATAAAAAATAAAACCTTTTAATTGTATTATTATATACGAATGGAATTTTTTCTTAGATAAATTATAAAATAGTGAGTGTTAATACCATCATGAGATCGTGTCCTGTCGTCGTCGCCAAAATATGAGATCGTGTCCGATTCTCACCAAAATTTCAATATTTTATTTATAACAATATTCGAATTAAATTAATACAAATACGAATTCAATACTTTAAACTTTTCTAATCTCAAAATGCAATTACTTTTCTTTTTAAATACAATCAATAATTTCAATAGCACTTTTGACTATCAATCCCCCGGGAATGGCTCCAATTCCCCGATCACGATTTTTCAGCAGTTCTTTGTTATCTGCCTGAGTCGGGAACGTTCAAATATATTAAATATTCGTCTCGGTACGTTGAGTTTTACTCTTATATCTTCGGCTCAACCTCAACTGGTCCTACCTAGGTTTTTCACTAATCTTAAGCTCCGACCTAAATTATATTGTCCTACCGCTACAACCTAAGTTCTACTAAAATAACAAAAAAATAAAAATAAAAATAAAAATAAAAGAAATAAATATATACAAATATACTTAGAAAAACGCCCCCTGGTAAGATAGTAATTAAAAAAAAATATAAAATGAGAAAAAATGGTCATGCACGGGATGAGTATGAATTCATTGTTAGAGATAGATTTATCATCATTACGAAAATATAAAATTCGAATACAACAAGGAGGACGAGGACAATGACAGTTTGTTATTTATTAAATGATGATTATGATAATTATCAAGTTAATGATATATGATGGTGATGAAGAAGTTAAGAAGATCACAACGTTATTTATGCATACTAAAGGTTCTATCATCTAGTTCTCCGATTTCTTTGAAATCCTAATTTGTTCTAATTAAATGTGTTCCTTTAAACATTATTTGAAACTTTTGTGTAGAATTATTTTCAAGCTTTTCTAAAGTGATCAAATCATTTAAATTCCTTTAAGAATTAAAAATCCGTTACAATTTAAATTTAATATTACAAATTAACTTTAAACATCATCTTGAGAACTATTTGCTTTGATAGTAAAGAAAACTTGTTTTTTTTACACTTCTCATAATTTAAAAAACACTTTGTTATAATGAAGTGTAATAGTAACCTAATTAAATCCGTGTTATATATAACGACTTTTAATATTAATATTTTGGCTCCATATTAATATAATATTAATATATAAAATCATATAAATTACATTATAATGTGACTAGTACTTTCTAAAATCTGTTAAAATGAGGTTTGACTCCTGAAACTAATTACCGAATTACATATATACTAATACTGGAATCAGGACCGGAAAAACTCTGTTGTATGAGGACCTGATAACATTGTAGTACTTATCACAATGAAAATAGTTACTTGTGGATTTTCCAAAAAATGATCCTACGCTGAGTTAAAAGGTTTCAAAGTCAGATGATTTTATTGTCGGGTTAAGAGTTGGTGCACCATATGTTATCTTAAGCACTAATAATTGTCGTGGATGCAAAGATTAAAACTTGCTAAAGAATTAATATCTGCATTATATTGTTTTATATCGTTCATGGTGACCTGGTATCTATCATTGTCTCTATTTTTTATGAAATAATTAATCTCTTTCTTTATCATCTAATAATATAAGCATCTTAATGGTGGTGGTATTAGATTACATAATTTTGGATCATTTAAACAACCAATTCACTCAAGTCAACAACATTATTTCAACTTGACACAATATTTGGATTCTCAAAAAAAGTTTTATAGAAGATCAAAAAAAAGTAGTCTTGGTATATTATTTTGGGAAATTTCAAGTGGAACAATTCCCTTTGAGAATAAATATATTGAAGTATCATGTTACATGATTGTTTATGAAAAACTCTATAAAAATAATAATTGTTGGTTGTTGTTTGTAAATTTTTCTTAAAAATTAGGCTGTTGGAGATTTGAACCTGAAACGTCCTGATATTGAACAAGTTTTAGGATATTTAATAATAATAATATTTTTTTTTTAATTTTAAAAATAAAATAATAAATAATAAAATGGATGATATAATAAAATGAAATAATTTTTTTTACAATTATAAATAAATAAATGATAGTTTTTTAATAAATATAATGATCTTTGTGGTTTTTCGGTTTAGAAAACTGACTGAGACCTAATGTTCTTCTAATATAAAAAACACCTTCACGAGGAGTGTAACTTGATTCAATCTGAATCTTATCAAATGCTTCAAAAGATTCTCTAATAACATTAGTTTTTCCCTGCTCGTCTGGAAAAAGACCACTCCCAGATAATGCATCATGCCAGAACTCCAACGTGTCATGCAATTCATCAAAAGTTGGTCTTTTTGTTGGATCTGCATCAAGACATCGTTTAGCCAATTGGAAGTAAATTGGTGAAGTAGCGTTTTTATTTATTTCTGGTCTCAATCCCATACAAATTTCTTCAGCCAATTTTTCATCATGTGTAATATTATAAAATGGTGGCTTTCCAGTAGTCATTTCGGTCATTATTACACCAAAACTATAAACATCTGATTCCTTGGATTTTGATTGTCCGTGCAGTACTTCTGGCGCAATATATGGCAAAACTCCCTCTAACACTTTCATATTACTATCAGGGCTAGTTGATGAAAATCCAAATCCTGTAATATATGTATTGGTTCCTCCTTTATTCATTAAAATATTCCCACAATGAAGATTACCATGAATACATTCTGTACGATGAATTCTTTTCATACCACCTGATATGTTGTAAAGGACTTCGATTCTATGTTTCCATTGGGTTTGTTGGAATTCATTGTTCAGATAATTTCGTAGACTACCACCTTCTTTATATTCCATAACTATTATATAACTTTTTGTTTTTGGATTTTGTGCAATACCATATAATTTTAATAATTTCCTTGAGACACAACTTTGATCTTCATAGAAGCATTGAAGATGAGTTTCAATCTATTACATGTGTGCAAGTTATACACATGACATTTACGAAATATAATGCATATTAATATTGGTTAATATGTGTGATATTAAAAGCAATAATTTATTATCGCATAAATATTATTATTCATTACCATTGATATGAAATCAAGGGTTATATCATAACCACTTTTTATTTCTTTAATGGCGACATCAGTCTCTTTTTTTTTAGATTTAGCACCCCCCTCACAAGATCTCTCACCATTATGCCATTTGGCATGATATACAACTCCATAGCTACCTTCACCAATTCTTTCAATAATTTCAAAATTTTCATAAGGGATATATTCAAGGAATGGGTCATCGTAATGATTTGCTTTTTTTACATTGTTTAAGATACATTCCCTTATGTGATTATTTTCGATATTCCAACTTTCAACTAAGCGTTCTGGATCGCATGTCTTGCACCATTGTCTTCCTGTGTTGGGTTTATAACAATATAAACAATTGCCATTAGGTTCACTCATTTTTTTTTTATTTTTAAAAATTTAAGTGAAGAAGGAAAAAAGTTTTTTGACGGAAAAAAAATACTTAATATATAAATATTAAGGGAAATTTTTATCATTTATTATTATTTATTTGCGGTTTATCAATCTCTGTTACTAGTTACATAATGAAATAAGAGTATACGTAACACGAAATTTTGCTGTAAAACATGTACATACAAATTTGTTTAATTATTTACAAAAATCTGCAAATTGGCTAGCGCCGCACCCTGAATTTCATAATTAAAGTTTTTACTATCAACTAAATCAACTAAATGAAAAACATATCTCTATCTGCTCTACATGTTCTACCTATTCATCTAAAATTCATTATAAAAGAAAATAAAAGAGAAACTTATTGTATTTTACGAGGAGAATTAATTATTTCGCCCTCAATATTATGGTCGCGCGCAGTTTTAACTAGTGCAAATTTAGAAACTATCTTCAGAAAATAATTTTAAGCACAACATATTAAAAGATCCATTATTTTTTTGTTTCGGCCAGTAATATTATTTAGTTTTTTAAATAAAAGCTTTGCATTTATGTAATGCAGGAACACATGACACTTACACTTTCTCTAAGTTTTACGAGCCTAGAGTACAAGGAGAACTCTTACCAAAAGTCACCTGAAATATGTTAAATTGATACAAGGAAACTAATCTTTTTATTACAAATGTTTGTTTTTGACGATCCGTCTATGATATAGTGATCGGTGGGGGAAAATTGACGAAAAAAAACACCCTTTATAAAAAAAGTTATTATACTTTTGCCTTGTAAGATGAAATTTTTTTGTGTATACAAATAAAATAAATCTCAGAGAACACACCTATGTATTTTTTATTGCCTTTAATTATGTAAAAAAAAAATTTATTTTCTCTTGATGATGTGTTGATTTTTGGAGTTTTTTGTATCGAAAAAAATCTATTTTTCTGTGTAATATTAATTATCTCAATTAATAAAAATAACTTTATAAGTAAAAATACTTTTGCATTGTATTATCCGAGTCTTGAATGATGATGATAGTAATAATTTATGCTAAAGGGTGTGCTAAAGTGTAATAATAATTTCCGCGAATATGTATTTATACTTTACTTTCGAAACTATCCATCATTATTGTTCATTTCAGAATTAATTTCAAGTATTAATTCATTAAACAATTCTCTATCAGGTCTTCCCTTATTCCAGGAGCTCTTGGCGGTATAGTCTCTTGTTCTAATTTAAGATTCATTAAAAATATTCTAAACCCTCCTTTAAGAAAAATTCCAAGTTCTCTTTTAAATAGAAATGATGAATGTTAGAATTCATTGGATTGGTTGTTTGTCACGTGAAACTTATTGTAAATAAAATACTTTATTCTTGGAGATAATTATTATTTTTTCCATTATATAGAAATTTTTGTATTAGAATTTAAAAAATATATCAATAAAAAAATAAAGACGAAAAATTTTTAACATGAAATTAGATATATGAAACTTCATGATTGTCCATTAATAAAATCATGTCATTAACGTCAAGATAAGGTTTGAAAAAAACCAAACCAGTTGATATGCAAATAATAAATTTTTATTATATTTGTTTGCTAAATAATAATACCATTTATTTCAAATAATAATAATAATAATTAATAATAATAATAATAATAATAATAATAATAATTTTATAATAATAATAAAAAGTTTTTTAGTTCAAAATAATAATGTTAAAAAAAAAAGGACTTTTTCAGGACTTCTTAGGACTTAAGTCCGGTCTGGTCCCAAAAATAGGACTGCCAGTCCCAGGACCGTCCTTGACTGTTTAGGACCGATTAACATCTTTAGTTATTTTATATATATTAATATGATTGTAAATAAAATACAGGGTACATACATATGTAAAACTCGATAAGTCAGCCAAGATTTTCCCATTTTCTTAATATTTAAGTAATTTAATTCGATAAGTCGGTCATATGAGCTCACCCCACATGACCGACTTATCGAGTTTATGTATGTAAAAACTACACATTAATTTTAATATTTATTTCAATAAAAAAAATTTTGTGTAAGTAAATACAATATTTGTGGCTTAAACAAAAGTTAATAATTTTATTTAAATTTGGGAAATGTATTAACTTGTAATAGATATAATATTATTAACTGGGGAATGGTGTCAATAAGGACCCGAACAATTATATTAATATTAATATGGACACTCATAATGTTACACGATCTTTAAAAGTATTAGTATCCTCACTTGATGATCCGCCAAAATAATCGAATAAACGGGTAATACAAATACTTGTTTTTTTACCAACAGTCACAGGACATTTCCCGCCGATCTATAGGGTAGTAAAATTTGATGATCTGCATCATAGTAAAGTTCGAATTTACATAGTAAAATTTTATAATCGAATGTCTTCACACCCTCATTTGATGCCCTTGCTGTGTAGCAACCACCACCAAATTTGAGATATAATTTCTTTATCATGTGTATCTACTTTATGAAAAATCTTAAAGCAGGTTGTTAATAAAACCGAAAATAATCTGACCCTCAAAGTCAAATTTTGCCTTTATATTCATATGCGTAAAATTTTGTTTGACGCGCTCAATTGCAAGTATAAGCAGAAATAAATGTCCAAATATTACATTATTATGAATATTTACAGATTTTTGATCGCTTAGGTATGTCTTTTATAGTAAAATCATTTATTTTAAAAGTAAATAAATAGATTTTAAAATTTTTCTATACCTATATACATAAATAATGATTAGAATAATAAACAAGCAATGATGATGATTAAATTAAAAGGTGTTTTTATCTCTGACTTTATTCATTTAATTATTTATCATAGTGATGTTATTAAATATAAGTTAAAATAAGAGAGAAATTTATAAATAATAAACATAACTATTGAATGATTGATATAATGTTTGTTAGTATGTTTTGTTCATAGATCTTGTCCTTAATGCTTACTTCGATCACCCCTATACAACTATTGAATAATTGATAAAACGTTTGTTAGTATGTTTTGTTCATAGATCTTGTCCTTAATGCTTACTTCGATCACTCCTATATATTGAATAATTGATAAAACATTTGTTAGTATGTTTTGTTCATAGATCTTGTCCTTAATGCTTACTTTGATCACTCCTGTACAACTATTGAATAGTTGATAAAACGTTTGTTAGTATATTTTGTTCATAGATCTTGTCCTTATTGCTTACTTCAACCACTCCTATACAAACTATTGAATAATTGATAAAACGTTTGTTAGTATGTTTTGTTCATAGATCTTGTCCTTAATGCTTACTTCAATCACTCCTACACAAACTATTGAATAATTGATAAAACGTTTGTTAGTATGTTTTGTTCATAGATCTTGTCCTTAATGCTTACTTCGAACATTCCTATACAAATTATATTGAATAATTGATAAAACGTTATGTTAGTATATTTTGTTCATAGATCTTGTTCCTTAATGCTTACTTCGATTACACCTACACAAACTGTTGAATAATTGATAAAAGTTAGTTACTTCGATCACCCCTATACAAACTGGATCTTAATCTTATCATCATCCTCAAAAAAGATGATTCGTTGTCGTCGTTTGCATATTATTGTTTAATGTTGCTATAACAATTACTGGTTGATGGATATTCATAATAATCATTAATGAAACTTTAATCAATATAATTTTTTTTAACAACGTAATCTTGTTGTGACATTTATTAATTTAAAATTGATTAGAAATATGTAATACATATAAAAAACTTAAATTATTTACAATGCATAACTCCCCCCCCCGTTTTACCATAGATAGTATTCGTTTGGAGCGACTTGACGTCGTATTAGCATTACTACTCTTTTTGTAGCATTTTATTATCGGCATTACAAAATTGTAACGCGCACGTGATCGAATACTAATACTAATACTAATATTGCTGAATTATCCGTTCAAATCGCAGATAATCCATACAATCCGGGTGATTCGTTCAATTTTACGGATAATCCGAATAATTCGTTTAAATCCAACGGATGTATTTTTTGAGCAATTAACGGATGACGGATTGATTTCTAGAGATAAATGACGGATGAACGGATGACGGATATCCGCGGATCACATCTCTAGTCCCAATGCTAATCGCAGTACCAATACCTAGTGCATTACGTGTCAGATATTCAAGAGTGCTATCTAAAGTATGTTATTCATTAGCAAATATCAGTTTACGATGTCCTACCAAAAAAATTGAATATTTTACCTTACCATTTGATGACCCGTTACTATTGGAAGAGATGTTTCTTACAAACTTTTGCAATCTTCGAAACCAAGGGTGAGACATCGAGGATAGTAGCGAATATTGAAGTATAATACTGACGCTAAAGTATATACAGTCATACCTATATATAATTACTTAGTTGAAAGTCCGAACTTTTAAGTCAAACTCACTTTATATAATTGGCTTTTTACATGTTGCACATAATCATGCAAAAAAAAGTTTATTCAAAATCGAATACGGTGCAGATCATCTATAATCATTAATTGCTTATAGTAACAATTGGTCAACTTCAAAATACTAAAACAAAAAA